TTACCAAAAAAAAAAACCATAATCCCGTTCTATTAAAATTTCTGTAGTTACCCTTTCCGACGTCTTTCATTCACTTTCAAAACAAATATTCTAGAAAAACGAACCGCTGATATTCACAACAACGCCGTGGAGCCGAATCTCTGGATCTATCAGTATTTCTTTATAGAATTCCAGTTGTTCTTCGGACGGCTTGTCCCTGAAACAACGAAAACCAGATCGCCGGAACTGCCATGCTACTTACTGATGTACAAGCATTCCAGGGTAGACTGGATGTACAAGCATTCCAGGGTAACCATCCCATGGTAGGGAGTCTAGCTAGTCACATGCAAATTTTCGATGATTTTTCTCACATCATATTAAGGGTACCGTTCTAAGAGTGTGCACAAGGAAATTCGCGGTAGCCCCCAAAATAATCGCCATGCTGCCCGAGGGAGAAAATCATCGAAAAACTGGGTTAGTGAATGACGTTTTCTCTAACAAATCTCCAAGAAACGAGATAATGACAGCACTCATGCTCGCCATATAGGCGGAGTCGTAGCTACCGCGGTGCTTTCTTTATTGGCGAGCCCCGCCCCCTCTTCACCGCCTTCGAAAGCAGGGCCCACCACTGAAGAAGGCGCAGTCGTGGGCCTGGCACCGTCCACATAACCAACGTGGAAAGTTCTTGAGGGTTTGCGCTCCATGGAGAATTCCTAGGAATTCCTAGCATTCATGCACCTGTTTTACTCGCGATCACACGTAAGCGGACTCTCCCCCCACGCACACACTGCTCTGGACCCTTTCTTTCCCAGGACAAGCTTGAAAATTAATTCTACCTTACCTTTCATCAATGACCAGATGTTGGTGCGATAGAATCCTTAGATCGTTTTCAATCGCAGCACAAAGCGGATAGAGAAATCCCTGAAATTCCCTGATCTCATGATGATTACATGTATAAATCGATACCAGTACCTTTTTGATCAATTCAAACATTTCTGCAAGAAAACGTTCGACATGAATATTGATCATGGACTTTTTCACGTATCGTATACAATCCGAAACTGCCATTGCAAAATACTGGAAAAGACCATTCAATCAAATACCATACTAAATAATCTAAGCAAACAGCAAATAAATAAAGCACGTCAGATTACGG